GAAAGAGTGAACAGAGCAGCTGGCCAGGAAATTTTTTTTACCAAAACAGTGATCATGAGGCTCTGCCACAGCTTCTAGGCAACGGCCATGCTAAATCTTCTCTGTATCATTCCAATTTTCTTTAAAAAATATAGAACCCTTCACGAATTTGTGTGTCATCCTTCTATGCAAAGCTTGGGTTCCTGATGCATGGGAATATAGATATGTGCCATTTTGGTAGTTCTCCCTTTCCTACCGATTCAAGAGGACCGTGATTTCCAACAATCACTCATAGTTAGGATCTTCAAATTTAAGTGACACATTTAGCATCCTGTATCCCATATAAACCATTCTTCCTTAGGTCCATCTGTTTCCTCAGAGACCTCTAAAATCATAAAAACCTCAAGGATGGAATGGCATCAGACGCTAATCACACTGTGTTCATTTCCAGAGCGGCAACCCAAGATGCATCCCATATCTTTTTATTTTAAGATGGTAACGGAAAAGATTAAAGCATCTGCGTACATACAAAAAAGCATCAAAGGTCACCCACAATAACACCTTCAGAACTTATCCCAGAAAAAGGAACTGCCAAAAATAGAGGATGAAAGTGAACAGATGGGTCGCAAGCAATCTGTGCAGATGACCACTGACTTAACTATTTTTCACTTCCCTCACGCCTATATATACAAGAAGCAGAAAGGCCTCCAAGAGCAGTATTTGAAAATGGTTGCTGTGGAACTTGGTCTGTAGTTACTGCCTTAGTTAACTGCAAAGTAGCTCTCACATTTTTTAATATTAGAAATCTATGTTCACGTTTTTGACAAACTGGAGCACATAATTACTCTAGAGAATTCATGAAGATCTATGAGCATTTATAACTCACTTCAGTCATTCAGAATAGGTGATGGATTTTGCATTGTGCAACGTCTCAAAGTTTTCGAAGCTCGAGGTTCGCAGATATGTATCCCTGAGCCCTTGAACATTGCATATGTGCAACATTAAATGCACCTATGATCACACTATGAATGCCAAATAAATAATGTTTAATTTAATTTAATCTGGTTAATATCGTACTATTTCACAACAACAACAGATGGGTAAATTTCACACATGCAACTCAGTTGAAACAGATGCACATATAGTTTCCCAACTGGAAAAACAGGGCAGTGATTTAGGGCTAAGGATTCCCTTCCTTCTGTTAGAGAGAGGCTTCCTCTGTGTCAGAGGATGGCTATTCACTTAGCAGAAAGGAATCTTTGGATTAAACCCAATGTATTTCCCAACACACACCACCTGGGGGGTATATGCCTCCACTTCTACAGAAGGGGACTTGTAAATAAACCATTTCTTGAACTGGAGTTTCTGCTTTTAAGTTAGCAAATCTATAACGGACTGGCAGTTTTCTTTAAGAAAACACAAATACAGAAAACTCCAACTTATGGGGAGATTGAGATGCTCTACAGTAGTACTTTTGGGCAGGGTATAGTGTGGGAAAATACTGGCTTCATATTTTTAAAAGGAAAAAAAATGGGCCTGCCTTTAACAATGAGAAAGGTTTTTTACAGAGTCTGTATCCCGCTAGTTATTAGTATTGCACCTGTTGTGACCTCTTAGCATTGTTTTATATTTAACACAACAAGGTAAGGGCAGATGTTAAACTGCTGCACCTTTTTGTCACGATTTTGTACTTTCATCCTAATGACTTCTCTCTTAACAAGCTTCTACCAGAACTTAAACGATATGAAGTACTTTTGCTACATGGGAGCTAGTGAAATATAGGAGTCATCCATAGTAACATAAACCACTACTCTATGCCACTGTGTTTAACACAGGACACAAGTTAGCTGCATGCACACAAGACAGATCACTGACAAATTACTGAACAATCTAATGTCAGCCTACTGATAAGCTAGTGTTTTAAATTTAAAACTAGGATTTCATTAAAAATTATTATTATCTGGCCTCCATCATCCCCATAGCCAGAGAGCTGTAAAAGGTTCAGGGGTCCGGGGGCTAACCGTAACCTCAGTGGCAGCCAGAGCTTTAGGGGACAGGGTAAAAGCCGGAACAGCCTGGAACAAGCATTAAGCACACAATAGTACCACAAAAAACAGTGGCATGCATTACAGGCACTCCAGAACAATATTCTAGAAGTGGAAACACGGAACCCAGCCCCATGGTTAGATGTGACCCAGATAAAAGGACTGCACACCTGTCTATTGGGTTTTTTTTATGAACAGAGGACAATGTTTTCATTATTGTACAAAATTTAAGGCAAAAAAGATCCCCTTTTAAAAATAATCACATACTGCAGAATAAAACAGCAAAAACATATTAAAAACCAAGCATAAAGTAATAATTATGACAACAAAACATAATTACTGTAAGGTAAGACTTATCTTTGCTTTTACTTTATCTTTGGTTTTTTGATGAAAAAAGAACCAGCCAGCAGCCTGCCATCCCTGGTGGAGGCCGTGTCAGGCTGGGCACAACACCCTAGATTGATTATCCTGCATGATTTCAATGTCCATGCGGACGGTGTGGTCTCCACTCAGGCGATGGACCTAGTGCCATCCGTGGTAGCGCTGGGACTCTCCCAATACGTAACAACTTCCACTTACCAGGCCAGACACACACTCAATCTGATCTTCCTGGCATTGGTCACAGTAGTCCGGGTCACTGCCTCAACAGTGCCATGGTCAGACCATCATGCCCTGAAGGCCCATCTGAATGTTTCACCCCGACCCTGTTTGGGCGGCGAGATTTCAGCTTGCCTGTGGAGCCAAATGGACCCTATGTGGCTTCAAATGGCCCTGCGGGATCCGATGCCCCCTGGTAGCTCGTTAGATGAACTTGTGGAGGATTGGCACAGCTGACTCTCGGCAGCCATCGATGAGATTGCTCCCTGATGCCCTCCGTGCCCTCACGCTAGGCTGGCTCCTTGGTTTACCCAGGAGTTGCGGCTAATGAAGCGAAGGTTAAGATGGCTAGAGAGACCGCAGTGGTGCGCCTGCGATGAAGCCACAAGAACATCTTATAGGACGTTTATCAGATCCTATGAGATGGCAGTCAAAGCCACTGAGAGTATTATGTGGCCACAATTGCGTTTGCGAGCTCATGCCCAGCCCAATTATTTAGAATAATTCGGTCTATGACTGTTCTGCCACAAGGCAGGCCAAATGTTAGGGAATTGGACACTGGCTGTGAGGCCTTTG